GATTTTATAAGTTTTAATTTATGTTTGTTTTAATATTTAATATTTTTTTAATTTTACTCTATAATTATTTATTCTATTTCTTTTATTATATTTTTCCTTATCATATTTTTTTTTGTGCATTCTCTTTCGTTCTTTTTCTCATTTATTATAAAGTTATATTTAAAAACAAAATATATTTTTAACCTACTTATTTTTTTAACTAGTTTTAACTGATTTTCCATTATACTTCCTCTGGGCCTTATTATAGGCATAATATGGAAGAAATTTTTGATTCCAAATATAAGTCATTAATAGTTACTTTTTATTCTTACCCTTCTTAATAATTAAGGTTTAGTGTTAAAAAGTTCATCAAACTTTATGTTTATCTATCTACATCATTTAAGTTGAGGTAAACTTGAAAAAAATTATCAATTTATGACATGTTTAAGAAGTTAACTATCATTTCTTGCTTGGTATGTGAGAATTAATTATGAATGCCTAAGGAACAAAAAACCGGACTAAACATTAAATCGGTTGAGATAGTGGTATAAGGGTTCAATTGGTTGGATTGGGGCCAACTCAAGGTTAGACTAATCATATTAAAAGGTCAACTCAAGGTCAGACTAATCATATTAAAATAATATAATTTAATTAAAAATAACAAAATATAAAAACCTTAATAATCACTAATAAAAAAATATAAGAAAATATAACAATAGTTTGATTGCATCAATAACAAAGTACAACAACATTGAGAATTTTTATCTTTATGATTCATTAATAACAAAAATTAATAATCATTAATACCAAAATTATCATTAAAATTTATTTAAATTTATAGTGACTGAGATATTAATAGTTAAATGAGAAAAAATAGGATCACTAGTAACATAATTATCTATACTAGTTCACATCAATTTTCACCAATTCACCTCCGGTTTGATCGGTTTGACTTATGCCTGATTCAACAACCAGACCAAATTGGATCATTGGTTGGTTCTCTGATTTTCTGATTGAACCGACCGATTTGGTATGATTTTTTTCTCTTGATGATAAGTATCAGAGGAGTACACAAATTGGTTATTTAAAACTTGTAATAAAGATGAGAGAAAATAATATTAATGAATAATGAATATGTTGCTTGATGCATAGGTTGAAGACCATATGAACCATAAATGAGAGTACTAAAAGCAGATGTGTTGTTGTAGGTAGTAAATTAAGAAAAGAGTGTGGTGTCCTCGAAATGAAGATGGAGGACTGCTGTCTCCCCCTTACAACTGAGGCAGTTGAATGCTTTTCACAAGTCCATTTATTACTTCATCTCACTTCTCACTTGCGTTTCACAATTAATTCTATTAACTTCGCTCACCAAACCCCTCAACTCTTCGTCCCCTCCATTTTTGTATTAAGCACTCAATGTCTCTTTATTTACTTCCTCCGTTTCTTATTATAAGATTTAACTTTTTGAATAGATTTGTTTTTTTATAAGATCCTCTTTAAATTTGTTTGAATATTTAATACAGCATTACCTATTTTATCCCTAATTTAATGTATTTAATATATTCTTTTTCTTCATTTATCTCACTATTATTCTCTCATATTTATCCATTCATATATAGGGGTATATTAGGAAAAAAATTACATTTGCTACATATTAATTGTTTTTAACTAATTTTTTAAACCGTATAATTAAGTTAAAAGGATCTTATAATAAAGGACGGAATAGTATTCTTTAGTTCAGCTATTCAAGGAATTGAAATTGAATATAAATATGAGATTTTTCAGTTGCTTTGTCTCTTATATTCATTATTTTTCTCAAAGTAAGTTACATAACTTATGAACTAATATATAAGTTAAAGTTAATTAAACAAGGAGTCTTTTTTGGGAGATCATATCACATTTGTTATAATTAACTAATTTATCTTATTTTTTTAATATAATCAAATGAGTTAAATATCACTTATATTAACAATTGAAGGGAGTGGCATTATACAAAATGTATGAATAGTTTAGTTTATTAGAGTCTTTATATATATTTTTCTTGTGCTATTTATAAATGACTTCCTACTTTTTTTACTAGAACAAAAAAAAAAATCTTAAACCCCATTAGTTTTACCTTAAAATTTAATAAATTTTTAACTTTATTCTTATTTATATAGACATTTTTTAAGAAAATAACAATGAATATAGTAATAAATAAAAGATACAATATTACATTTATATTAAGAATTTACGGAAGTGATTTTTAAATAGGACTGTCTATATGTGTATATATGTGTGTGTGGGGAACGAAATAGTATTTCTTTGGTCTTTAATATAAGATATATTTAACTAATTTGATTAGATTAAGAAAGTTGGATAAGTTAGTTAATTATAAGAAATATGATATTTTTTTAAAGTACCAAAATTATCTTCCTTAATATCCCCTTCTTTTCTTACTTAATTATAGTTGAGGGAGTGTCAATAAAAGTAATTTAAAAAGAGTGATAAATATAAAAAAATATGTTTTATATTTAAGACTAAGATTAACTCAACAATTAGGAGTATTTACTTTCAGTTCTTTCAAAATGCTTTTACACATTCACGTGTGTGCTCATAAAAATGAATTTCATTGTTTGTAACATGTAAACAATGCGGTTTGTTACGACTTTATATACTGCATATATATATATTTATATAAAAAATATTCATGTAGAATTGTTGTTAGTTTTATGTGTTGCAAAGAATTAGAAAAGGAAGCCATACTTTTCATCAAAGTCTAACTCTTGAATGGAATGAGAAAGACTCTCTCTTATCAATCCTCTCTTCCTTTGTATGATTCTTCTCTATTCTTCTTTATTCATAACAGGTTCCATTTACTGGATTAATTAAAACAAAGCCGAAAAAGAAACCATTAAGAATTTTACGTTATTGAGTTTTTATTTCGTTTGATTTTAATGGCCGGTTTTTGTTTGTAAACCTCAGATTTTGGGCCTGGCCCAATTGTTCTATTGGGCCTTCAAAGAAATTAGCGTAGGTCATGGGATAAATTTCACTATTCACATCTTACAGAAAATGCATTCATTTTTTATAATATATTATTTTATACTGATGGTGATTGATATATAATAATTGAAAATTTTATGTAAATTCATATATTTTGTCATCACAAATGATAAATATATAAAATCGAATTATTGGGTGGGACCATAACTGAATGCTTGGGCATTATTGGGCATGTGAAGCTGGATTCGTCATGACCTGAGAAATTGAGAATGCTCATCCTTATCACTTTACTGTTACAAAATTTACATGTTCCTCGTGAAATGAAAAGAAATAATAGTCCACATTAGTGCCATCTGGTTAAATTTTTAGGTATATTATTAACAAAATTAATCAGACGATGCCCATGTCATAGAAGATAAACAAAGAGAATTTCTACATTTTATTAGGGAAATTGTTGCCTATTTCGGTTTCTTCGTCTGAAACAATTTTTTTACTTTTAAAAACAAAACAAAATTTTTTTTATGGTTGTTTTTAATGAATTGTTTCGTGAAACCAAAAAAAAAACCAGAAACATGATTTTAAAATTAAAAAAAACTCAACAATTTCCACGTATTTTTTGTTTTTGTTATATTCTGCTTTTTTCCCTCTAATTCTCCATTTCACTTGCTATCGTGCTCTTCATTTTATATTCCTAAATATAATATCCTTGTACTGATGTGTATAAGGGTCTTATATTTAGAATCGGAAGAGTATTTTGTTTGTTTCTCTAATTCTCCATTTCACTCGCTATCACACTCTCCATTTTGTGACTCGTGCTCCCCCTGATTGCTTGCCTTCATCTACATCGTCTTTTAATCTTCTAACTTTCTATTTGTTATTGCTGCACTTTCCACTCTATCTTTTTCCTTCTCTTAGTTATTTTGATGTTTCCAACAAGTTTTTATATATTTTCTTTCAAATGTAGCTTTTTAAATCAATCATCCAAAATTCTTTTTCTAATTTCCCCAGAACTTTTTTCAGAAAAACTAATTTTATAACATTATTTTAAAAACATAAAAGCAGAAAACAGAATCAAATTAAGTCTATATTTTTATGGCTTCATCACCACAATTTTCACAAATTTTTGGGGTAAAATGCAAATGAAATGCAACTCAAAAGGTGAAATTAAAAATGACCAAAACTCGAAATTATTTGCATGGAAGGGAAAATTCCGATTTTAGTTAGTTAGACTTGAAATGAATATGCACTAAGCATAGTAATAACTTGGAAGCAAAAATGAACTAAAAACATCACTAGCCATACATAACCATGAGCTTTCAGAAACTTAGATGTGCGTTGTTTAGATTTCCACTGGTTCTTCTATGGGCTGGGTTATTCAAATGTTGGGTTCATGTATAACGGGGCCAAATATTTAAGGGCCCACCAATTTAAATGGGCCTGGCAAATTCAATTGGGCCACAATGCCAGGCAAAGCACAAGTTTGTTTTGTTTTGTTTATTTTTTTGGGGAGGGGGAATTGAAAAAGTGTGAAAGAGAAAATGACATAAAAATGGTGTGCTTATGATAATTTCCATTTTTATGTTGTTAAAACAATCCCGTAGAATAGATTTTTAGAACAAATTTTGGAAATTAAAAATTTTAAAAAATTTGTTCGAACCATTGTTACCTCCTAATAGGAATTGGCACATCACCTTTTTCAATTGATCTCTTTAACTTAATTAGCTCGCAATTACTATATGTGAATTAAGACCCAAAAACAGTTACTAAATCTCATGGAAAGGTTATTAAACGACGGCGTTGCATAATTTTGGGCCTACTGGTTGTGGCAAATGAAAATGGGCCGGCCCAGTTCAAAACCCATTTTGATGTGACGCGACGCCAAAATGTGACCGTTAGTGCCAACGTCCTTACAAAATTGAAGGGGAAAAAAATATGAATTTCGAAAAAGGCTCCGCAGCTTACCGTTACCAACGGGAAGTTCCCAGACCCGTGAAAAAGGACACCGAAAACCCTATGAACATTAATAAGCTTTCTCTCAACAGAAATGGAATAAAGATCAAAGCTCTCAGTTCTTGCTTCCGATTCTTCAACTATCTTTGATTTCTTTACCTTCTATGCCTCTGTTGACATAATCAATTTCCTTTTTTTGTTGTTGTTGTGGGTTTATCCGACTCTTGTGCCCTTAATCCATGGCAACACTAGCACCTGGGATTCTTCTGAAGCTCCTCAATGGGATAAACACCGGAGTTAAGCCCACAGGCGAGCACCGGAGCTCGCTCCTGCAGATCACCGACATCGTTCCGGCCGAGCTGGACGAGAAGAACCTCTGGCCGAAGCATGGGTTCTACATAAAAGTATCCGATTCATCTCACTCCGTTTACGTCAGTCTTCCCTCTGATCAAGATGATTTCGTTCTCAGCAACAAAATGCAGCTGGGTCAGTTCATATATGTCGACAGATTAGAGCCGGGGTCCCCTGTTCCGGTCGTAAGAGGCGCGAAACCGCTCCCCGGACGGCACCCACTTGTCGGAACACCAGAGCCATTGATGGGTCTGAGACAAAAGGGAATAAGGAGCGAACAGAAGCCTTCCGATTCAGCTCCTCCGAGAAGGGGGTCTTGGGGAACGGGGGGGAATGAGGGAGATAAAATTTCGTCTCCGATGGTGTTTAAGCCTGTGAATTTGGACTTTGATCAGTGTACGCCGGTGAAAGAACCGAGAAGTTCAGCGAAAAATAGCAACTTTCAGGCAATGATGTCTCCGATGACGACTAGAACCACCCCTGTTTCTGGCGTGAGAAGCTCAGTGGGTGGAGGGCTTTTGGCGAAGATGACAGATGCTAGGGCAGAAAGTCCTGCCTTACTTAGGAAAAGCTGTGTGGCCAGTTCTGCTTCGAAGTTTCCGAGGAGCAGAAGTGTGTGCGGACGAGAACCTAGGATACCCATAACCCCATTCAAGTCATCTGTAGGTACATTGTTCCTTCCTCTTTATGAAAAAGAAATCAGAATCATAATTGAATTTGATGTACATTCTTGATGTTTCATGATTTTAAAGCAGCTATTCTAAATGGCTATCGAAATTGACAGATAAACTTTAGTGCTTCAAATATGAATATGGAATTGATTGGTTCTCTCAAAGTCTGGTCAAATTTTGAATCCTTTGTTTAATTTCTAAGGCTGCAATGAGGCCTTTTTGTTGTGCAACTGCTGAGATTGAAGTCATAGGTTTGATTTCTGAGGTTGTTTTGTTTTTGTTGTGTAATTGGCTTTCAGGGAAAGAAAAGTACGACTCCACCACCAAGGTTAAGGAGTGGAGATGCGGAGAATCAGAACTCAAACATGACTTCTCAAATGCAAATTCAATCTACCAATTCTGCTTTTGATGATAATAATAATAGTAACAATCTTAGGCTCCCCATTAATTTACCTGGAAGACTTGGCTCACTGGGAAAGGTAAAACTCTCTAATCTCGACTATCCTTGAACTTTCCTTCTTTTACCAAATTCCATAGACATTCACTAAACTTTCTATAATTGTACATAAAGTAATCTTTCTTCTTTTGTTTTGACAGGAAGCTATGCAGCAACGACAAGTTTCTCAGAAAATTGCCCTTCAAGCATTAAGAGATGCTTCAGCTACGGAATCATTAGTCCGCTGTCTCAGGTATGAAACGCTTCTTAATAAGAAATTTTGTTATTAAACTAATTATCGTTCAGTCTCTTAATTATTGATGGTGCAGTTGAAAACTAGTGAACGAATGCAGAGTTGAATCTGTTAGTTTTTAATGTAAACTTCTGCAAGCTCAATTTTGTCCTGATGAACTTGTTTTCTTTTTGTTTTGTCAAAGGATGTTTTCCAGTTTATGCAAATCATCTCGAGCCGATGCACCGGCAACCGGTTTCGAGCAGTTCTTGGAATTCCATAGCCAGATTGTGCAAGCAGTTAGTGAAATGGTATCCATTGAAGCAGCTACTTCAGCTTCAGAAATGGCTCAGAACTCGCAGAACAACAACAAACAATCTGAACAGGACGATGAAGAATCCTCGGTTTTAAACGAAATCACACACAATTCATTGGACCAACGCAGGAACTCTGAATCAAGCTTGTCAAAGAGAAAATGTGGTTTGTACAAATCAGTCTCTTCAGCAAACATGGGAAAACTGCTAAGATCTAGTACTACCCAAAAAGAGATTTTGGAGAGAAAAGGCCCAACTTCTGTGAAATTCCCACTTGAGCCTATTGGTGAAAATGATGAGAATAAGAAACAACCATCAACATCATCATCATCATGCAGCATAAGCAATACAATAAAGCTGGGGAAGCAAATTGAGACAGAAGCAGGAAACTGGTTTATGGAGTTCATAGAGAAGAGCTTGGAGAAGGGTATGAAGAAAGCTAAAGGAAAAGAACAAAATGGTGGGGATGCCAAAAAAGTTCCTCAGTCACTTATTTTGAAAGTGATTAACTGGGTTGAGGTAGAACAGTGTGACATCAGCAAGAGGCCTGTTCATCCAAAAGCAACACAGATAGCTCGCAAGTTAAGGATCAAAATGAAGAATCCTTGAACAAATCACAGAAGAAGATTGAGATGTGGGATAGTGTGAGAGGGTATTTTCAGTCTAAAATTTACTTTTAAAGCATTTTTTTATATATAGTCTCTCTATTAAAATTTGAAGATTGCACTGAATGTCTGCTTCCCTATTATTGATTACCTCTTCCCCATTAAATGGCGTTAGCTTTTTGTATAAACTTGTAATGTCGTTGCTCTTCATGCAGTGAGAACTAGAGCTATTCTTTTTTCACTCGTTCAGGGGACCCAATATATGTGAGCAGTCCTGAATCTTCTTCTTCTTTTTAAATTGTCTGAATTTCATTGAAGTGACGTATGAGAGTGAAAATTTAGAATTTAGACCTTCTTAATTTAGTAAAAAAATAATACTCCTCCAATTGTTAATATAAGACCTATTTAACTAATTTGATTAGATTAAGAAAATGAGGTAAATTAGTTAATTATATATGTTTTTCTTAAAACACCATAATCATCTTCCTTCACTCTTTTATTTATAAAAAGCTGATAAATATGAAAAATATGAAAAATATGTATTATATTTATGATCAAAATCAACTCAACAATTAGGTTTTATATTAAAAACCGAAAGAATATATAAATAAAATATTAAATTTAAAATTAATCATTTGAAATCTATGAAGCAGTGTTCATTTTTCAAACTTCGAAGTTTTGTGTGCAAGTGTGCATACTTCCTACAATTTCATTCATAAAATTTCATTAAACATTTATCACTCATTTTTAAATTGTCCCCATCTGTTTCACTTTTAACTCATATATTGGCCTTAATTTAATTAAAGATAATTTTAAAAAGTTGTAAATTTTTGTTTGAATTAATTTTAACAAATTTTCTTAAGCTTAAAAAATAATTCACAAAACTTTATAAAAAGGATCGAGAGAGTATATAAAATTTCATCTAGATGTCCACCATAATATGGAAATTCTAATAAACAGATAATCTGAGTTAAGATAGTACAACTTTTTTCTGACCAAAATAAAAAGTACAAATTAATTCTCAGATGTAATTGGTAATTGAAAAAATAGTCTTCCTCTTGGGTGAGTATCAAAACCAAAGTACCCATATTTTGAAATTCAAAACTAAATCTGAGCTATACTTGATTCTTAATCTAAATTTTTTAGTACAACTACACAATATGAAATCTCAGACTCCTTTTTTATTCCAAATAATTAGACCTGACAGATTGACTAACGGCTTTCTAATTCTACTTCTGTTTTTTTTCCCCTGTAATACTCTTACATCAAATTAACCATTCTTGAAAATAAACAAGCCACTCTTTAACCGCACACCATCATCACCACCACCAATTTCAAAGTTATCATCTTCATATTAATACTCTTCCGGTCCTAAATATAAAATCCTTATACTAGTGTGTATAAAAATCTCATATTTAAAACCAGAAGAGTAGCATTTTAAGATCTCGCATTTACATTTAGTGTTTCACATATGGCATAAAAGGGAAGCAACTTTTTGTGATGAAGAATTGGGAGCTTTTACTGAAAGCTATGAAATACTCAACACATTTTTAATGTTGGGGAATATGCATCATTTCAAGATAAATGCCACCAAAAGATACAAAATAATTAATAATTACTACCTCTAGTACTAAATATAAAAAATAATTAACTAATTTGAGTAAATAAAAAAAATTAAATTAGTTATTTACAGTAAATAGATAGTATTTTTTAAAAATATTCTTGTTAATCAAGTTTACTGGTTATAACTAATATTAATAGAACGACTATTCTGAAAATAAATAAATAAATATGAAAAATAAAGTCGATTAAATTATTATATTTATTTAGACCAAAATAAAAACTAAAGAAGGTCATGTATTAAAAACCGGAACAGCTTTCTTTATCTTCCAATTTATCAATTCATTTATCCATTAAACCAAGGGATTATCAAACTAAAGAAATACGAAAAAACTAGTGCAACCCCTAAGAAAACAGGCATATGCAAGACGCCATCAATAATGGAAATACAGTTTAAAGAACCTTCTTAAATCTTTCTCTATTCTCAAATGACAATTATGCCGCAAAAGAAATTAATTTCGCACTAATAAATACAGTTGGACATAAGCACACTCCAGACTCGACATTATTAGGAGAAAATACAAAATCAACAAGGATTTAATAACAGATACAGGAGAAAACAAATGATCGTCAGCACTCTATTCACAACTCGAAAGATAAAACCTACAAAATTTAACCTAATCTCCACCAGATCATGGCTAAAAATCATTGCCATTGCAAAATAAGAGCAGTCTAGACATGCGATGGAATCTTGAGCCAATACTCAATAGGATTTTGCATTAATACGATGATCAGGCATTCCAATGTACACTTTTGGGTTAAGACATAGCCAACTGAGGGCATGGTGGGAAAAAATTCTCAGTCCAGAAGAAAAGTAAAACATATGATTAAAAAGGGGGGAAATCATAGAATCAAGAATTTGACCTCAAGGCAAGGCCTGTCTCTACCTTCTTTATTTCAAAAATAAGCATCCTCCACATCTTGAGAACGAACATTTCAGCTTCTTCATCTAAAATGGATTGAAGCAGCTCCAGCATCTGGGATGCTTTCACATGTTCCTGTGTACTTGAGACTATGTAATCTACCAATGTCGTTTCTTCTTCCCCCAAGAACTCCGTGATCTTCTTTGATATCCATGGTCTCATTCTTTCATGCAGCTGGTGCTGGAGGAGCAAATGATATGAAATTAACAATTTTTCAACAGGTTGAAATTAATTAACAAAAAATAATAAAAAAAGGAGATGGCTGAGGGGAGCAAGGGCCTGATAAAATAAAAAAAGCATTCAGCACATGCCTAAAAAAGTATGACCATTTTCAAAGCTAAATTCTCAATCTTTCATGTAACCCAGCTCTAATCATCAAAACCTTTAACAGACAAATACATTGTGAGCTTCAATGATCAACAAGTCAATAGAAGTATGTAATAGCAACTAAACTCAATTAACTGTTACATGCATCAACATGAATAGAAAGGCTATTTTTATTGAAATTAAATTTTCAATAAATATTCAAAGATATAAATTAAAACATCAAAATATGAGTGAAGAACCAATGATCTACTCTCCAGACACCACGCATTTAGCCTATTTCATCCGACTTTATCTCTCAATCCCAAAACGCATGCTAACTTTGAAAAAGCTTAATGAGATTCTTCAATCTCCTTCATAATTGAAGATTGTTTATCGAGTCTACCAAAAAAAAACATCATAAAAAATACAAATATTTTGCTCTCTCAGCTCAATAAGACAGTGCCTCTATATACAGCATGCTCCAAGCTCTATTTCTGTACCTACATCTAACCAGCCACAAAAAGATCCCCACATGTCATCTGCCAGCATATGCTAATCAAAACATTAATCAGTATTTATGCAACCAGCTTTCATTACGTTAGGAGTAGAACAAGTGAAATTGCCAGATTAAGATCATTTACCTTGTCATACACTGCCCAATTTATCTCATATGAGAAGAGCTCATCTTTGGTCTTTGGTATCATATCAATCAACTGTTTCGCATCTAATAGCTTTTTATTATCTGACGTCTTCAGTTTCTCCAACCCACGATCTCGATCCCTGTCACGATCGGAAATCTTTTCCCTGCTTTCATCTTTGTTGTGAGAGACATCATCATTCCTATCCCTATCTCGGTAGTTAGACTTCTCATTAGAACGCCTACTTCTATCCCACTCTCCATCTGCCTTCTCTTCCTTGATATTCGCATTGGATAAACGCTTGGCAAATTCTGCAGCTGCAGCCAAATTTGGGGGTGGGCCCCCCACCCCAGAAGCAGTTGGTTGAACAGCCTGCAGTTCTTCAGTTGAGTAGTCAATTGGAACCAGAGGCCTCATCTTTTTATCCTTGTGCGCATCATCATCCTCCTCCTCATGGAACACAGAAGGAACAGTAGTTCTTTTCCCAGATCCAACCAAACCAAAACCCAACTTCTTAGCAGGGGCATTGCCACTCTGTCGTGTATCAGAAACAGTAACTGACGCCATGGTTGATTCGTCACTGATGCCATTTTCACCTTTCAAGCAAAGGAAACTAAATCTTCAGTACAAAGAAAGTACTAAAAAAATGGATAAAATGAAAACATGATATAAAGAATTACCTGTATGGCCTTCAGAACCATGGTCAGCTAGTGTGTCCTGTTCAGTAACAAGATTTTTGGCTTGATTAGTAATATCTTCAGTAGCCATAATTTTTTCACCACCATTCAAGTGCTCAGAAAATAGCCTTAGTGCATCTCTCTGCTGCTTCAGCTGTTGATCCTCCTCAGCCCTCCTCTTGGCCTCAGCAATTTCTTCCTCTTCCTTCTGTCTGTCAGCCAGGTCCTCTTCCTTTTCCCGCAATCTTTTCTTTCGTTTCTCATCTAACACACTTCTGCGCCACCTCTTCCTTGAATCTTCATCCTCATCCTCTTCATCATAAAGTATCTCCTTTCTACGTTTGCGCTCCCGTTCTTTCTCCTTCTCCTTCTCATATTGGCGTTCTTTCTCTCTCTCTCTCTCTCTATACTCCCAGTCCTTCAGGCATGATTCATACTGGCGCTCAGCCTCCTCAATCCTCCTCCTTTGTTCCCTCTCTTTCCTAATGCGTTCCCGCTCTGCGTCTCTTTCATATCTTTCAAGTTCCCTATCCTTTTCTCGTTTTAGTTCTCTATCCCGGTCTCTTTCTCTGCTCCTCCTATCGTGCCTTCTATCAGGGGTCTCGGGCCTATCATGTTCGCTAGTTACTTTGTGCTCACTATTTGTCTCCTTGTCATCATCACCTGCTTCTACAATTTAAAAACCAAAGTTGTTGGTTAGACATTCTAAAACAGGGGATGATAAGAAAGGTATTCCTCCAAGAATAATGTGCCCAGAAATACAAAAAATAATAAACTATTATACCAATAAGTAGAAAACGACAATGGATGACAAATATAGCAAAAGGAAAGTTCTGTCTACTTTCCCAACTCACCATTATTCACTGCATCTGCATCAGAGTCTCCATCTCTTGCTTTTGCAAGTTGTTCCAAAGCTGAGTTAGCAGGGCCATCAGGAGCTGCCTGTGCAGGAGGTGGAGGTAAAGGCCTTGTCTTCAGTCTCTCCTCTATCATGTTTGTGATCTTCTCCAAGGCCTCTCTATCAGCTTCCCTGTCTTCATTAGTAATCATACTGAGACTTGTCACATGATTTTCCTTGTTCCCTGACTTACTGTCCTCTTTCTTTGAGTCATCAGGCTTTCCATCCTCTTTTGCATTCAAAGGTTGGGCACTCTCATCATCTTTCTCAGATCCGACAGCTTGAGTATCCTTTTGCAAGTTCTCATTTTTCTTCTTAACATACTTCTCCAGGTATTCTTTTGTAGCGTCATTAGGATTGACCTGTTAGTCACATGTAACAAGAGCATGACTCAATTAAACCAAGGATAACCAATGCCAAACAACCTTGCAAGATCAAGGTGATTTGATAGATTCTTTGATGGGAGACGGATGTTCTATACATCCAACTCCAAGGATAAGTTCCCATTGCACTATTATTAACTGAACAGCTAATTCAAGAACGTACTAAACTAATCCCAATACAAACTTCTTGAAAAAGGGAAAGATGAGTGAGTCAGCACAAAAACAAAAAAACATTTTTCAATGAAAATATTGTCGCAGTCCTGATTAAACTTGTGTTCAAAGTCGATGAAGAAGCATTTATAAAAATGATATCATTCAAAGCATAATATCCCTGCTTAATAAGCTCAACTCGCCTTTTTTTTTTTTGGGTGCATAACTCAAACCCTAATTTTAAGTACAGTTATTGAAACACTAGTCCCCTGCACCCGAAGAATTCCCCAAAATGGAAGGAAAATGCTAAATTAAAAACATTTAAGGAAAAAAAGACATTCATTCCTGTAACTCATTCAAAAATTTGACTAGGTTTGTAGGTTACAGGGATTGACAGGGCAGACACAGCGATAAGAAACGAGTGTAGCTATTTTGCACCCCGATTTCACAGATACTGCCATGTTTAATTATTTGGCATTCTGCGTGCCATATGGTATATGTTGAGACAATTTAGCCTAATCTGACATTTGGCATCCACAACAAACTGGAGTCATTTTCAGCTAAAAGGAGCTCAAATAAGAAGCTGGATTTTTTCTTTTTCTTTTTTTTTGGGGGGGGGGGGGATGGGTTTGCCCTCCTTTATATGTCCAGATCACCGCACTGCTTTAGCATTCAATTTAAAAATTTTAATGTTTTAAATAATTCTCCACCAATACATGCTCCCCCCCCCCCCAACACACACATCTCAAAATAGGATGAATGGCCTACACAATATTAGCACTAGCCAATGCTCCTCATACCAACAACTTATGTTACACAGCATGATTTAAAAATAAGCAAAACAAAAAGAAAGGAAGAACCCCTGCTGAATTTCTCTTATCATGTCAAAAGGATTTCAATCCTTAATTTCAATTTCAAATAACATCAAGTCAAAACAAAGAAGGCAGCAAACAATTTATAACATCTCAAGAACTTTTTCTCCTTTTTTTTTTGACCCCTTCTTCTGTTTCTTCCATACCAGCATTTGAACTTAGGACCCCAACTTTACACCTTGAAAGGCTCACCAATGAGGCCAAATATGCTAGCAACATCTCAAGAACTTAATTATCAGGTAATTCAACTGCCTAAACTAAAGACACTAAAACCTAGGATGTAACATGAACAATTAAATTCATACTTTTTACATCTAGACAGTTGAGTGGAGGCAACTCTACTACACGAATTTCTAGAAAAAGTAATTGAAGATACCGTTAATTCTTGCCCATCAATATTCAATTTATTAAGCAGACGCAATGCACGGAGAACACCTTCAGCAGACTCAAACTCCCAAAATCCAAAGCTTAAAGGAGTTCCATTCGTTGGATTTTGAGGACGTTTCCAACTCTTGATAGGTCCACATAACTGCAACAAAAACATAATCTACACATCAAAACTCAAGTGATTTTCAGCCAGACTGTCCAGAGCATTTTAGGAAATTTGGGACGAGAATTACAGAGGTCAGGGTAAACGAACTTGCTCTGGAACAGGAAAAAAAAATGCTGACGTTTACCTGAAGTAGTGAAAGCATAAATTCATTTTCCACTGTTGATGCAATCTTTCCAATATAAACAGTAGTTTGAGGTTTATCTGCAGGTGTAATACTAGGAGCAACTACTGGTCTAACCACAGGGGGAATGACAGGGCGAACAGGAGGGATCCCGGCAACAGGAGGGCGTGATACAGCTGGAAGCACATTAACAGATCCAGGTGGGCGCGGAGGAAATGAAGGACGAACCATAGTTCCATAAGGAGGTGGATACCGAGGCATTCCTGCACAAATTCAAACAGACATCTATGCAGATATGTCAGAGCATGGTCATCGATGGAGATGTACCAAGAACTATTATGAATGGCAATAAAAACGTGTCAAAAGAATTGCGACAATAACAAATGAATGTTGTTACCACACATCAAAAGCATAATATAGATGGCAGCACATCCAAAAAACACCTTCTGATGTGACACCTGAAGCAGAAATTAAGAAGTACCAACTAGTTTGAAATTCAGTTATGTAAAAAGTGCTTACCTTTGTCTGATTACTTGCAGCCCCTTCAAACTATCCCATCCACCAATAGCAAGTAACATGAGACTTCCAACATCTCATGTATGCAGAATTAATACGATGAAATTCTAGGTGAATTAATTATTCTCTTTATACATATCAATTGTCAGCAACCTATGATGCAACAAGAAAAGAAAGAAAAGAAACCGCAATAGAGAAAAAGAGAATTGAAAAGATTGCAATACCTTGGGAAACAAGGCCAACGTGCATTCAGTTGCAAATACGGTCGGCTTCTGGAATTCATAAAATCATTGAAGCAAAAATACTCTTATAACTAGCATAAAGTAGCCCATTATGAGCATGACACAACCACATATGGTTTAGCATGGCAAGATAACATAACTTTTCCACTGTTAATATCTCTGAGTAAACTTTGTTCCCAACTTTAGTAAAAGACAGGCAAGAAGCCAAGCAAATACGTGCATACCAAGAAAGAGTTGTACAGGGAGATCTTTAAGCAATATGAAGCCTTCCAATCTTTCTCAATGTATTCAATCAAGACACTGTAGGAGAAAACATCCTGTCATCGATATCCCTTATCTAACCAACATGAAGTTTCTAAATCTCCGAATTCAACTAAAACAAACTCTTCCCCACTACATAACACACCTAGAAGTTATTATAACGAGAAGCATTTTAACAAGGCGTTCATTTCTTTTGTTTAGCTAATACACAACAAACTTAATAAGCAGCAAGAGAGTAACGCAGTCCAGTCAGTCAAGTACACTTGGTCTCTGCTACATGATGATATGAATAATAGATGAGATTGGGTAGTTAGTTGGATTTTTTGGCCTAGCCACTTTCACTAAACACACCAACGCTCCGAGGGAGGCGAAAACACGTATGTCAGTTAATGGAGACACTTTTCGTCTAAATCTCTGTTCTTTCATCTCTCGTTCTAATTTTTCATAACACTATAATAAGGGTCCAAGAAACGAGGGGGGCGTAAAATGCAAAATTTCTAATGTCGAAACCAGTCTGAATACGTAAACACAGCTGAAAGCAAAAGAAAACAAACGTTATCTACGGACAACGAATATAACGTAACCCACCCGGTGGAGGCATGGTCCCTTGCGGAGCTCCTGGAATCGCTGTATAACCATTCGGCATCGGTGCAAATGGTCTAAAGGCCGGATTAGCAGGCTGGCCGGGCGGAATCTGATAAGGAACCATCATTGGCTGCATCTGCGATGGCACTGGAACCGCTCCGGCACCACTAGCCACACCAGGAGTCATTGGGGAGGCAGAGCTTACACCCGGCGGCTGAACAGCTGGATTTTGATAGTTGATGGGGTTAGGTATGGGAGAAAACTGTGGAGTCTGCGGAGCTACTGGCCTGAAGGATGGGACGACCGGAGGGGCAACGGCTCCGCCTGAAACTTGAGGTGCCGCCCCGGCCGCCGCATATGAAATTGAAGGAGGTGGGGGAGGTGGCGTGGGTACTACTGATGGGTTCGAGTTAGGGTTTACTGCCCCGACAGGCGCAGAGGATGATGGTGGCGGTTGTATTGCCGGGGGTGCGGAGGGATAACCCGGATCGGGTTGGCTCTGATGAGAATTGGGAGCACCCGAGTCAGCTTTCTGCGGGTTGGCTTCTGAAATGGCAGGAGAAGAGGCGGAATCCGCCATGGAAGAAGTCGGCGAAAGGAAATGGAAATCAGTGAAATTAAGGGTTGTCTTCTTCCAAGTGGTTTTTGATTGACGACTGTGTGGCAAGTTACTCGGAGCCTTTTATGCCCTAGAGGTTCTGTTTCGGTGCTTTGTAAGAAGAGCGGAGCCTGGAAGAGTACGTGGGTGATGGGGGCCGGAATCTCCTGCTTCGCTATATCTTCTTCAAACCCTGCAAAATTGGACACGCTTGTCGCAAATTATCCCTGTTAGGGTAAAAAATGAGTAACCGCTTGTTTGGTTGGCGCGTTGCTTTTGTATCTCAAAAGTTTAATATAATTTCTCATGCCTAAAATTTGTGTCCATTTTAATTTTAATTGCTTAAATTTTAAATATATAAATTTAGTTCCTAAAATTTAATCTGTTTTAAAATATTAATCCTTAAATGTGCAATAATATTAAAATATGTTGAAGTGTCATAAATGGCATTAAAAATAATGATTTAGACAATAGGGAAAAAAACAGAGAAAGAGAATAAGTCTTCTAAATGCAATACAATAAACTGCTCCTGAAATGAACAACAAGAAACAGGGACTAAACAGCCGCATTTTGATGACTTGTTCTTTTTTTGCCTATTTTATTATCTATATAAGATTTGGTTAGGTGTTATTTGGTGAATCTATAGCACCAGTTTAATGTTATTTATGGCATTTTATTATATTTTAACATTGTTGCACCTTTAAAACCATAGATTTAAAATTTGAAAGACTAAAATCAAAATATATCCAAATTTCAGTCCAAAAAATTATATTAACCTTTAAAAAAATTATATAATCAATTATTAATATTAATTATCAGTTAACATTAAATATAATAAAAAGTGTTGAACTGAATAAGAATAGAGTTGATTTGTTAGTTTGCCTTTTGCAATTCCTTTTTTTCCAATAACAAAATGACACGTAAAAATCTCCTGTAAGAAGGAAAACACATGTTCAAATACCAAAAAACTCAATTATTGAAAGGGTTTTAACCTCAACTCTCCTAACTTAACAGAAATTAGTCTCAAACCTAGCATGATTTGAGTATACCCTGCGTTATATAAAAAAAATTATATGTAAAAATAGTGTGACATAATTTTTTTGGTGACATAAAATGATCTTTGATGTTCATATTGTGAATAAATATGAGGGTAACCTTTACAAATTGTACATTCAAAATGAGCAAACTATAATTTGAAATGCTAATCATGGATTCAAGGCGAGGAAATAAAAGGAACGTGTGACAGACACAAGTCATTAAGTCATCATTCTGGCTGTAAAAACTTCCACCATACCAAACTAGATTTATCTAAATAACTTCATCGCGATCAATATATACGTTTACCTATCTATCTATTTATTATATGAAAGTAGAGTACAAAGTAGGGTTTGATGAGAGACTGCCAAGTGGTCTCACCAAGATGCAGATAAATAGGTCTTATTTTTCTATTTTTGTAAAAACCGAAATTTTATAAACACCTCATCTATCTATACATTCATCACCTTATCATGATAAAATTTGGTAGTTATTTCTCATAATGAATCTAGCACTTATCTCACATTAGTTTTAAAAAAATTTTAAACTTGAAGTTAACGAGAGTTATTTATTTCAAAGATATTTATTGTTTATTCCCATTTGAATTGCATGAAATAATTTTCTTGATTCCGAAAATCATAGCATGTATAACAGCCATGATATATTTTTAAATTTTGAAATTTACATTAGTCTTGCAGCGTCAATAAATATTTTAAATTTTAAATTAAATAACATAAGCTATATATATAACTTCCTAATCTTGTTAACCAATTATTTTTTTTATTTATACAGTTTCAACGATTTAAAAAGACATTTAATTTCTCTCTGATACCATCCTATTTTTATTTATTGGTCGCTTCTTTAATAATTTCAAATAGAGAAATAAATGTGAGCATTTTTTTTATAGATGGATTTTAACTTGACTAAATTTTCACAACAGGCCACTCTACCAAATAATGAGTTTTTCTTTTTATTTGGTGAAGAAATAATGGGTTTTTATTTAAACAACGGGTATAACATGAAATAATAAAATGTTAAAATAAAGCTATATATATTACATGCTTTGAAATCTAATGGATATTCAATTCTTGAAATTATGTTGAAATTATAATTTATAACAGAATGTTATCTCAAACTATCTATTTTGTGGTGATTCAACTTTTTATATGATATAAAAGATCATGAATTCATACCCGTGCATTGCAGGGGTACCAAACTAGTTGGAGCTTAAGGTAGGGTTGAAACTCAAGAATACGCTGCCCATTACCTCACCCCCCACTTGTAACTTCACATTGCCAATCTTGAAGACAATAATTAGCAACTTATCCCCATTGCAACTATAAAGCCATCGCTTCATTGCTATCTTCAAGTAATTATAATTAGCCTTTTATGAACAGTAACATCAACCTAAGTATGTGTAGCTAGATAAGGTTTCCCTGAGCTAACACCTTTAATTTCTCTAATTAATATTCGTTTGACTTTTATTTTAGTCTTAAATATAAGATTCCAATCCATTTTGACTCTTATATTTATACATTTTTTACCAATATAGTTCTTATAGTAATGGTAGTTCTAGCCAATATATTTAATTAACATGGATATTTTGGGAAAGATAATACTGTTTATTACAAATAACTAATTTAACTAATTTTTTTAATCTACTTAAATTAGTCAACTAGCTGTTATATTAAGAACATGAGGTAGTATTTATCATAACTTTTTTTCGTTTGTAAGCTACAAGACCTTTTGATTTCATATTCTTTCATATTGGGGATATGGGATTGGATGCATTTGATGGGTTTGAATAAGGGCTGATGCAATTGAAAGCCAGAAATATGTTGGTAATTTTGATGCAGCAGTGGGGTTGAGTAAGATTGAGAAGAAGGAAGAGGAAGTGGAAGAAGAGGTCAAGGATATAGCTTCCACAGAGGAAGAAGTGTGAATTTTTATGATAAGAAAGTAGGAGTGGGAGAGAAGGGAAGGGAGGAGTAAGAGAAGGAGCAATTGAAATGATAAGGAGAAAGCAGAGAAAGAGAGGCAAGCCTCTAGCAATGAGCAAGAGAGAGGGGAAGTAATATGATGACATAGCATGCAGGGAGTGCCACATGCACACATCAGTCAAATTTAACAGTCAAAATTAATAGTTCAAACAATAAAGACAACATTACTACTTTTAACACCTTCAGTAACATTATTCTTGAAAAAACTTCCAGATGCTCATAGTTTTCGAGTGAAAACTTTAAAGCAAAATTTATACAAGATATTACCTCCAGTCCTAATTATAAAATGTCGTTCATAGTACAAATAAGATCTTACAATTAGGACGAGAAGTAGTACAATAAATGATTATAAGCTAGTAAAGCAATGGATGATACAATATCCATATACATATTAACAATCATTTTCAAGCCCCATTATTTTGCTCATATGAAACGAATCTTTAAAGAAGTTCTCTCAGACTACTTAACTACGTGTACTTTTGAATGAGTAAGGGGAGACTAAGATTCCCATGATACCTTAGCATTTATACCACATTCGATATTCTAAAAGGGTTTTTGAAGGAATCAGGAGAGAAAAAGAAGTGCTAAAGGGAGTGGAAGTAGGGTTGAAGGGGGGTTTTAAAATATATTTAATATGTTCAAGAAAATCATGCATAAAAATTTTAATGGATAAGTGTATTTATAATATGAAATAACCAAAATATCTTCCTAAACTAAAACTAGTGTCACCTCTGACATTTTTTATACAATTGATTGCCTAAGAGAATTTGCTTCAAGTACTCTTCGGGTTCTAAATATAAAACCTAATTATTAATTGAATTGAATTAAAGATGCTAGTTAAATTAGTTAACATAATATTTTTTTTTAAAAAATATCCTAAGTATTTTTATTAATTTATTTCTTTCTTCTCCTACTTGATTATTGTTCACAAAATATAAATATGGTTGATTTAGAAAAAAAATTGATAAATATGTGAATTAAGTCTTACATATAAAACTAACATCAACTCTTTAATTGAGTCCTATATTAACGGTCGAAAGAGTAAAATATTAAGTTCAAGGCTTTAGGTTATACTTTTTGTATTTCATCAAACTCAAGCTCCGACTAATTCCATTTTTTTTCCTTAAAAAGAATGTAAAGTTGAAAGTTCAAACAAGAAAACTTAGATCCCACTTGGTTAGTACAAAAGAGGGGTCATGAAAAGGAAGAGGAAAGGAAAAACATTTCTCATAATTTGGTTGTTATGATATTTTCGCTTCCTAAGAACCAACTTTCCAAGCAAAAGCTGGAAATTGACTTCCTTGATTAACCTAATGAAAAATAACAAAAAAATGCAAATTTTGATGGGTCTCCATTGTCAAA